ATGAAGTTGCTTTGCTTAGTCGCAATGAAAATAATTTTCGGAGGAAAAAAAAAGGAAATTGGTTTGTAGTTAATATAATATTCGTTTATTATTTTATATACTCGGATTTTTGCTAATATTCTATATTTATCTTAATGTATATAATAAATATTCCTAATTTAAATATACATTCAAACCCTAGATTTTTGTATATATATATACATGTCTGTTCTCTTCACATTGCCGATCATAGTTTATTATATTTAGGGTTTAGTCAAATATATATATTTTTTCTTCACGTTTGTGTCGCCTTTTTGTTATGTATGAAAAACAATATTTATTTGCTATTGTATTTGTAGATCGGTGTGCAAATTTGTTAACTGGTGTGCTATTATATTTGTTCTAGCTTCTTTTTTGTTTTTATATTTCTCTGTTTAACTAGGGTCTTTGATCTACTCTTCTTCTTCTTGCTATTTTAACGATTTTTCTTTGTTTTTATTTTCCAGAATTTGGTTCTTTCTATAAGGTAATTGTTGGGTCCAGACCTGCGGCCCAACATTCTGAGTAGATCGCAGATCGCAAATCACCAAAGGAAGCGAAGGTCCAGCAAGTTCGGGAGAAGCCCAGCGGGCTTCTGGAGGCCCACTCCAACCGTTAACCGCGATCTGACCACACCCAAGACACATCCGAACTAAGCCTGGTCAAAACAGGGGTATATCAGATCAACCATGGTCAGTTGAACCCAGGCTAAACCCACCGTCCTTCACTATAAATAGAAGTTACGGGACGGTACAGGAGATTCATTCCTGGAAGAGTACAAGCACTGATATACGCACACTCTCTAAATTATACTCTTTATACTCAACATTTGGTAGTTCAGGGTCTGTCCGATCCACTGCGATCTCTTAGCTAGCGACCCGATAGCACGGGGTCTGTCCGAACTATCTTTAGCGATCTATCTAAATTCACCTCTTTTCGACTCAACTTTCTATATACGAGATTCTCCGACCTCCGATCTATTATAAATTCATTGTCGACATGCTCGGATCAACAATTGGCGCGCCAGGTAGGGGGCTTTGGAGATTTCTAACGCAAAGAAACATGAGTCCGAACGTGTCCGTAAGTCAACAACTCGGAGAAACATCAAATCAGGGAATCTTAGAGGAAGCCCGCGAAGCTCCACCCATCATAATGGAGTCCAGCCCGGTCATCACTCAGATTGCAACAAGTGAAGAAACGAATGCCGCAGCTCGTGGCCCCGAGGCAACAACAAATACGGACGATCAGATTGATCTCGTTCGCGTCCTGGGAACCCTCATGAGACGCTTTGACCAACAAGACGACATGGTCCGTCAAACAAACGCCCGTCTAGACTCCCTCGCAACGGCTCAGAACGTCATACAAGAGCAGCTTGACTCTACCCGACCTACGAACTCGCAACATCCCAGGACGAACTCATCTCCGTCTCTTGCTGAAGGACATGGACGCCCAGCCGACCAGCACCGGATTATTAACCTCAATACTCCATCGCGAACTCCGATCAGCATACAGCTCGAGCGCGCAACCCATTCGAGAGAACACTCTCCGGCCCACGATTCTGAGCTCGAGAGCATTAAGGCTTC